TTGAAGGTTGGGATGTAAAAAAAATAAAAATAGACAGCAAAGCACAATTGGTGTATCACAGATAATTTTCTTTTATATGCTTAAAATGAGTGACAGAACCCATAAACTCACCAAAACAGTGTTTACATAGGAATGTTTGGGGGGTGGACAGATCATAAAGTGAAAACCAGATGTGTTTTAGAGTAAGATTAAAACCTGACAGCAAAGCATATGCACTTGTTTGTTTGTTTTTAAACAAGATTTAGGGCAGATGAAGTGTTTTAAACTGTATAATTACAGTATGAGGCTCAGGTTAACGTATTCGACTTGACAGCAGGCCTGTTTTGACTATATTTTAGTTTTTCTCATCAGTTTTAAGTTGCTTTGTTACAACCCTCTTTTCTATTAGCGATTTGTGGTTCCTAGCTATTATCAGACAGATTTAAAACAAACTTATAGAAAAACATGCTGGAATAAAACTATTGTGTTGCTCTGTTGTGTTTAACAACGAGAACCTGCAGCCTGCTCGTCTCCTACTTTCCTGAGTGTAGAGAAAACCACCACGAAGTGTATGTGTGTGTATATATAGATAGAGAGATATATCTCTCTATCTATAAAAAAATTAATTAGAGGTGGGAATCACCATACATCCCAGGATACGATATTATCACAATACTTGACGCACGATACGATATTATTGCAATTTTTTAAAATATTTTGCAATATTCAGATTCTGTACATAAAGGTAAACTTTATCAATATTCATTTTATCTAATATCAAAGTCTCACACTCAGTCTTTCTCTCATTTCAGTCAGTTTTATTGTTGACAAACTGAACGGTTTGTATTACAGTCTAGTCCAACTTAACTGAATGCAACCATCTGGTACAATTACAGCTATTCTGAACTTTCGCAATTTATGAAAACTATGCAGCCCATTCAGCAACTGAAGAATTTGAAAGTAAATTAAAACAAAATATAATTTTACATTAAATAAAGTTTTAAACTTAATTAAAATAAAACATGTCTTAAATTAAAATAAGTAAACTGTCATGTTTATTGCTGCCAAAAAAAAAAGGTTAAACACATTTGGACAGTGAAGGAATGTCAGGATTCTTGCTCAGGAAAAGGATCAACATGCTCTGAAGTCAGAGTTCCAGTCCACAAAAACTTTTTTGTAACAAAATATTAGCTGGTCTCATAGCCCACCATGAAATAGTCTACTTCCAAAAGGCATTTGCAGTAATGGTTCATGATTATGGACACAGTGGCTCTTCTTTTTTCCCTCTTAACTCGGCACAATTTTGTTAAGTAATAGGAAATATCTTTGGCCAGAATCTTCAGTGGGGAGATGTCACCATGGCAGCCAGGAAAAACAAGCTTAAAAAGAGCATTGTATTATAAACCTGTCATCTGTCTGGCATGACTCAAAGTGTGGCCTCTGGTGTCAGCAGCGAAATGGTTTACTCTTCCACAGCGTGCCAGCCTCCAAATGTGGACGTTTAAAAAGTGAAAAAATATTAATATATATTAATTTTGTGTGGCACTAGTCAATAGATTAGGGGTTGTGACTGTTTCACTAACTGCCGAGCGACTGCGTTGCATTAATTATGAACGTGTAGGCAATCTGTCACTGTCTGTGACACAGCCTCTCAGCAGAGTGTCTATTCACACAGTGAGGGCGCGATTGATGCAGCACATCACCATGCTCACACTGTTTTGGAGTGGTTCCAAAAACGTACAAGCACAACACGTTGCAGCTTGTTAGCCCAAACTCTATTGTTAGAAACAAAAGTTAGAAAAATAATGTCGGCATGACTTGAGACTTGTAGGCCGTTTTGCTGGCAGCAGAAATACCAGATTCGTGGTGCAGTGGTATCAAATTAAGGCAAGACTGACTGTGCTTGCTTTGCTTTGTTTGAAGCAGGCCTTTGATTTGTTAGCATGAAGCTGGCAATTTTTTTTCATTTCTTTCTTGCTGCAGGCTGATTCTCTGGGCTATATTTTGCCTGTAGTGTTGTTGTTGTTTTTTTGTTTTGTTTTTTGATATATATAACTTACATGTGAATTACTGACTCTTTCAACAGGTACATCCTCAGGTGCTTCATCTCCTGCCAGGAAAGAACAGCCTTTGTTTTCCCTCAGACAAGTTGGGATGATCTGCGAAAGACTACTGAAGGAGCGAGAGGACAAAATCCGTGAGGAGTATGACGAGATCCTGACGACAAAGCTTGCAGGTATAGTTTGTTTTTTTTTAAATTTATTTTTAATGTTATGTTCACGTGCAAGTAATCCAAACTGTTTTTGTTTTTTTTTTAAATAATATTTGATTTATTCCACTAGAGCAATATGACGCCTTTGTCAAGTTCACCCATGACCAGCTGATGCGAAGGTTTGGAGAGCAGCCTGCAAGCTGTGAGTGTATATTTTTGCTGTTAAACATTTCTGTCATGGTGGCACGGTGGTTAGCACTGTTGCCGCTCAGCAAGAAGGTCCTGAGTTCAATTCCAACATCAGGCTGGGGTCTTTCTGTGTGGAGTTTGCATGTTCTCCCCGTGTTTGCGTGGGTTCCCTCCGGGTACTCCTCCGGCTTCCTCCCACCGTCCAAAGACATGCAGCTTGTGGGGATAGGTTAATTGACTAATCCAAATTGCCACTAGGTGTGAATGTGCGAGTGAATGTGAGTGCGAATGGTTGTCTGTCCCTATGTGTTAGCCCTGCGACAGACTGGCGACCTGTCCAGGGTGTACCCCGCCTCTCGCCCTATGACAGTTGGGATAGGCTCCAGCGCCCCCCGCGACCCTGAAAAGGATAAGCGGAAGCGAATGGATGGATGGACGGACGGACATTTCTGTCATATTAGCGATAGCTATGGTATTTGCCTCTTGAGGTTAAAGTGCATAATAAGTAGTTAATATTAAAATATAATATAAAAGGAAACTTGCTTTTCATGGCAGAGCTCTTGTCAGAGTCTGTGTACATTTATGCTTTATCAGCAGTTACACAGCTTCTGGGTGCATGTTTACATTTTCACAGCAGACTGAAGCTGTCTGAGCTAAATGGAAGTATAATGATGTGAGGCTGAACTGTCTAAAATGACAAAGTATTTGCTGCAGTAGACTGTGAGAGTGCAGCCTTTTCAGTGTGCCCAGGCATATCAGCTTATGCTGATAAAAGCCTCAGAGTCAAGCCAACATGAATGAAATTCAAATCGTAGGTGATGTTTTAGCTTCTTAGGGCTATTTGTGTGAAGGAAGAACTCACATTATAAGCGGTAGCAACCAGAACTAGTTAGTTAGTGCTCGCTCATTTTTCCAGAATTTGGTTACAACTGACACCTAGTGACTCATTTTCTATATTCAGGTGCTGCAGAGGTGCAGTGTTTGGTGGGGATGTCATTCAAACAGCCCACCAATCTTAAATGGCAAACCGGTGATATAACTGTGATCGAATAAAGAGGAACTGGACTTTGCGATATTTATTTAAACTTCTTCATCTGCAAACATCTCTCAAAACCTACTTTTGAAAAATGTTTGTGGTGCATAAACTGTATATAAATATTCAGTCCCTCCTTGTCCACCGAACCCCTCTATTGAGGGCAAAGCCTGCAATATTTGGCCCCCTTAGTGGTGACTTTTCCACATCTGCTGTGTGGATTGTGATCAGTTGATCAGTTTCTTGTAGACGTGGTAGGGCTCGACTTATTTATTGACAGGTTGCTGTAGGCTATTTGCAGATGTATCAGTATTTGTATTTATTAATGGCCAGTAAATGGTAGTGGGTAAAAGCAGTAGAGACAGGGCAAACACCCTTCAACCATGTTATGAATATTGACTTTGCATAGTTTGTCCACAAGAGGGCGCTCTGTAACTTCCATGTTCCATATTTTGCAAACACAACAGCCAATCCTGTACTGGTCAGGCTTTTATTATTAGCTTAATCATTTACCAACATGCTACAATTACTTTTTTTTTTTCACAAATAAATATTCATAGAAAACAAAGAAATCTGTTTTTTGCGTGTTAATATAGAAGATGTTAAATTAAAAGTAATATTGAAAAGTAAATTTTTAAAAACAAAATGCAAACAAAATTTTGAGCTCTGCATGTTTGCACGTTGAATCCCATTTATGAAGTTGTCAGTGCAAACATTTTTGGCTGAACTTTTGTTAAATGTCTTCTAGCTTAGACAGGATTTATAAACTGTCTTATTAGTTCCTGTCTGCCATCTCTTATGTGTAATCGTTTATTCCTTTTTTTCTTCCATAGATGTTTCCTGAGGTTGGCGCCCAAATGGAGTACCATTTACTGCAAACTAATCCAGGGCCTCACTGGGTCTAGTTGGACTTTTCTCCTAGCTGTGCCATATCGCCTCTATGTGGACTCTCTGCCTCAGGCATCAGTTAGTGGCACTGATGTTTGCTGTTGCCTCCAGAGTTTGGAGGGCGCCCTGCTGCCTTCATGTCTGAGGACCCGCTGTGGCTCCACCCGTGGCCTCTCCACTGCCGCATCGATATTTATTTGGCATTGTTCTGATGCCTTTGTGAAAGGCTGACTGCCACCACTCATTTGACCTTTTGATTTCACTTTATTCTTTATCATATTGAGTCGTTCCACAGAGAGGATGTTACTGTCGCGGCTTTTCTGTATGTACTTTTTTGAAAAAAGGAATGGCTGAAGGCAGCTTTCAGACTGACTTGAGGAACAGTTGTCTTGGCTTGTTTCAACATAGTTTAAACTGTACTGGTGATTACTGCTTTTACACTTGTATACACTGTATATTTTTTTTTTTTTTTTGCTTGATGTGTGTCCATTGTACCATAATTTCATGGTTTTATTTGCTGTAGGTATAAAGGGGCTTTGATTCAAGAAAATCAAACAAATAAAAGTCTTTACACAAATGTTAATTTTAGATTGTCGGTTGTTTGGGGGGGTGTTTGTTTGCTTGTTTTCTAGCCTTTTACTCTTACTATCACTTGGTAATGGGCTTTGCCATTGTGATTTGTTACATGGGGGTAGTTGTTGCTCATCTCCCAGGCCACAACCACACTCAAGTCATTCATACGTTCTGTAAATGTATTTAAGGCTTGGGGCGATAACATTCATTAGGATAATAAATGTGAACGCTAAACACAAAATGACAATATTCAGCTGAAAAGTTTTTGTTTTTTTTTGTTTTTTGTTTTTAAATAAAATTCGGCTCTTATATTCTAATAAGAGCCATAAAAATTGCAAATCTTGCAGTACAGTAGCAGAAAGCTTAAGTAAAAAGAAAATTACATTTGGTAATGAAAGAAGTAAAATCACTGCGATGCAGGGATTATTGAATCATTGTATGTTTATATAGTAGTTATGGTGGGGTATTCCATGCTTGAATTTAACGCATCAATTTGACATTGGTCTTGTTTATATGCATCAAGTTCAGAAAAAAAGCAGCAATTTTGACTTTGAAAATCACGCAGAAGCCCTGATATTGATCGGATGTTATCTCCTCAGTAATTCAAAGATGAGAAGACTCGAAAAATGGAGAAATGTAATTACCCAACTTCTCCGTCCAGAGATGGTATTTGGAATAGATCACAAACTTTCCAGTAATCCGCGGGACTATTTTTCCTCCATATTTCTAACTTTCATACCTCCTGTTAAAGGTCATTTAAAATCACCAAAGATCTCGATTATCAATAAATTTGAGAAACCGTACAAATATAACTTAATCCTTCCCTCAATCTTTTTAGTGAGGATTTATATTTTTTCGACTCGTTACTTATGAAAAAAAGGTTTTTCTAAGCTTTAAAGCTGCATTTAACGATATGAAACTGAAGTCACGTGAGTTCTCGAGCCAATTGGACCCTCTGTTACCAGGGAAAACACTTGACTCAAGCTCCTCCATTCAACAGCTCTTGTTTTAGGACTTGCTCAAGTGCACAGATTTTATCCAGGGACTTGAACTTTTGTCTCTTGTAGTCAATAAAAAGCTACAATTAATAATAATAAAACTTTTTTCCGCAGGAGCGTTGTTGGTCATTTTTAAATTCACCAGCTCCCTCGTTTTAAGATGGCTGGCGATGATAAAACTAACCGCAGTCATATTGTCCGCCCTTTCCTCTCCATGCCATAATATGACCGGGAGCAGCCTAGAACAAATTCGAACAAACCCTTTCTTTTATTTACGCTATTTTCTAAAGCGAAGCCTGTGATTGGCCGAGGAAATCGGAAGTAGTAACAGTAATACGGAAGTGCAGCAGCAATGTGTCAATGTGAAAGCACCCTGCAAGGGTTTTTTTAAATTTATGCATAAAGGTTAAGTTAAGGTTTTGTTCGTGTGTTTAGAAAACATGGCTTGCTTTTTCAGGAGAAAAATCGCGGAGAAGGTAATGCGGCTGGGAGTCTCAGATTTTCACAAACCTGTGTGCTAATGCCATCATGTTTTGATCCTCCAGGGCTGTGATTGAACACTTACAATGTTTATCTGGTGTTGTGTTTTAATGTCTAGCTGGGTAGAGCGCTGCAGCAGTCAGAGGATGTTTTCATTCCAGCTCTGACAGCAGTTCCAGTCCTGAAGAAACAGTTAAGTCTGTTTGTGTCGCTCACTGCTAACCTGTAGGATGCTATAAGTATGTTTTGTCCTCTCACCTGTTTGTCAGAGACTTTAAAAAAAAGTTGTGATCCTCAGGCAGGGAGCCGATTTCAGGCTTTTAATTGGAACCCTGAGAGCCAGTGGGATTTTACCATCCAGTGGAGACATTCAGGTGCAGACAGAAAACTTGGCCACTCAGGTGAGATTAAACCACCCTTAGACAGTCACCATTCCTCTTCACGTGTAACTCCACCGCATGTATATATTTTTGGTGGAGGTCATGGTAATACCCGCGGCTTAAAGTGAGGCCCTTAAAGAAATTGTTTGCTCCAGACAAAGAAGTTAAAGAAGCAGACTGGTTTAACCTGAAGCCTAACCTGTAACATGAACTGTAAGGCTGTGACAGGCTGAGCTGCCTGTAGCCGAAGCTCTCACTGCTTGCGATCTATTTCATTCCTCATTGTTGCAAACAGGCCAGTCTTTCAGCTTAATGTGCATCCAAGTTTATCAGTTCCTTTAAGCACCGTAACCATGTGTTTATGACAGTTGGATATTGCAAGACAGTCATATAATTGTATAATCTGTTCCTACAGATTATACAATTAATCTTCCTCAATTCAATGAGTTCTAGTTTGTGTTTGTCTCATATACATTAGATGAAGCTTTAATTTGTTTTTAGTAGGTAATTCACACTTTATCTTTCAGTTGAAGCAGGACAATGTGGTGGAACACATCTCAGCTGCACGTGGAATTATCAACTTTAAAGTTAATCGCAAGCTTCTTGCTCAGGTTTGAGTTTCCACTCACACAGTGACAGCTTAAGCAAACAAAACAAAATGAAACAAAAAAACTTCCACAGCTTCTGATGTGATCACAGTCCCTCTCCACTTTATCTGTTCCAGAAATTGTTGGAGCCATTTGGAAATGGGGAGAATGATAAATTCGGGTTAAATAGTGAACTTTTCAATACTCTCACGACAGGAACGACGTTAGTGGAGTACAGGTAAGTTTGTTTTTCAGTTTTATTTATATGGCGATAAATTTAAATGCGGCCTCTTTGTTAAAACGGGGGAAGGATTCTGTATGTCTCCCCCTTATTTTAACGTACACCCCGACTATGTAACTAGGTACGCCTGTTCAACTGCTCATTAGTGTAAACATCTAATCAGCCAATCACATTACAACAACTTTGTGTATTTAGCCATGTGAACATGGCTAAGGCAACCTATGGAAGTTCAACCTAAGTGTAAGAATGATGCAGCATAATAACACAGCTTGTCACAAAGCTCAAATGATCTCAAACTGGTCTCTTGAACATGACAGTGAGTTCACTGAAATGCCCTCCACAGTCACTGAACTCAATCTAATAAAGCAGATTTGGGATGTGGTAGAACAACGTGGATGTGCAGCTGACAAATCTTTAACAACTCTGTCATGTCATTACTTAAATATGGACCAAACTCCCTGAGGAATTGTATCCAGCGCCTTGTTCTTTGGAATAAGAAAAAGTGGCTAATGTAGCTATTGAGTGTATTCATTTCCACTTAACAGAGTTGATATGTTGATATGCTTACAGCTCTCCAAACATTGCCAAAAAATTCCATGCTGGACACTTGCGGTCCACAATAATTGGTGAGTATAAACTAAACTGATAATAATAATAATAGTACAATTATTATTATTAACTGAAATGCATGTGAGCTACATATTAAATCGAGCCTTACCAATGAACTTATTACTGATTTAAAAATGTGCACAAAAGGGTTTAAAATGATTTTTATTTTGTCATCTTGAGCAACAAGTTTAGTTTTTTTTAACCGTGAGTCCGCACAGTTTTACCTTTTAATTATCAGGAAATCTTCAAAATATTTATATTGTTAGCTTGAAGAAGAAAATTAAGACCCGATGTGTCATTACTAGATTTTCAAATTCTTAAATAGCAAATAGTTTTTCAGCAAGTGTAAAAAAAATATAAACTCTATCTTCAGGTAACTTCATTGCTAACCTTAAACAGTCACTTGGAAATGATGTCATTCGAATGAACTACCTTGGAGACTGGGGGATGCAGTTTGGTGAGTTGGTCAGAAAATTACTCTACAGTGAGGGATTATCTTTTGTTTGTTTGTTTGTTTATTAAAACGTCAAGGACAAGTAACCTGTCTTGGATTTCAGGTTTGCTGGGAGCTGGATTTGGGCAATTTGGAAGTCCGGATAAATTAAAACAGAATCCCTTACAGCATTTGTTCGAAGTGAGTTTGGATGTTTGGAGAAAGACCCGATAGATGCTCTCTGACTCTCAAATTTATATTTAAGCACTGAATGAGCCTCAGTTGCATGTTTAGAAGATGTTGTTTTAGTGTTATATTCTAAATGCTGTTTAAAAAGGCATTTTTAAACAGCACCAGTGTTTTGTTTTTTTCTTTTGCTTTTCAGGTTTATGTTCGAGTAAACAAAGAAGCAGAGAACAATGAGGATATGAAACAGGCTGCCAGAGACTTCTTTAGACAGCTGGAGCAGCACGAGAGCCATGTTGTCTCCTTATGGCAGCAGTTCAGAGACATCACAGTGAAGGAGTATCAGGACATTTATGAGGTTAGAAAGCTGCCAGGCAGCTTGGTAACAGCTTGAGTCTCTAAAGATAGAAACTTGAAATGAGAAATAAAAATGTTTAACAGTTGACTGCCACGGAGCACGACTGAGATTGATTTAAAATCTCTCCAGCGGTTGGGGGTCCACTTCGACGTTTACAGCGGGGAGTCCTTTCACCAGGATCAGGCCCAGGAGGTGGTGCAGCAGCTGCAGAGCCGGGGCCTGCTGAAGACATCTGAGTATGTGGCGACCTTCGATTGGTAACTGGTGTGTCTAACACCAAGTAAACATGTGCTAAGAGGCCACTGATTAGTCAGAGTTCAGCTTCCCTACAAACAGAATACAAATAGATTTTAACAGATGGGGAAGTTTATTTGCGAAAAGTGTGTCCATCTTTAAACTGCGAATAACATATGTTTAATTGTGAAGGTGTCGTCGATCCCCCGATGCATCAGTCATTCATTTTGGAGCCATTTGGAGATGTCACAGAACTTTTTATAGCTCTGTTTTTGATCTCGTTCAGCTCTACAGGGAAATATCTGGCTCTTTGGCTAATACATTCTCCTCTGTGCTCACCTGTGTCTGCCAGCTCTTTGGTGCTCAGCAGGTTGTGTCCTGTTGGTTTTTAGAGCTTTACTTTGAAAAACGAGAGCAACGGCTGAACCAAAACAGTTAAGCTGGAAGGCAGAGAGATTAAATTTGAAAGGAAATACAGATTCACATAGTTATCTACCAGTTTATTGCTACATGCCACCCCTTGTATAATGATATTGTTAAAATATTTACCTAAGCCCAGACTTCTCTCACCCCATACACCTTTTCCAGCTCTATCAGATAACCAAAACACTTCAACTGGCTCATTTTACTGTGCAGGAGCCAGTTGAAGTGTTTTTTACAACACACTATGTTGACTTAAAAAAAAAGATCAAAGGTCCAGTTTACCCTTTCCTGTACAGGATCACCCGCATCACAACCTAGAATCAGGCCCAGGGTACCGGCTCAAGGCAGAGGGTTTGGAAGCTACTTGGGTCTGCCCTCCCGTGAACTCACAGGAGGAGTGTAGGGATTCAGTGCTTAGTAGCTTAAAAATGAAATACAGTAAAATATGCATAGATTCAACAGCTGAGCCTGACCCTATGTCTTCTGGACATAATGAATTTTTTTTTCTGTTGACAGGAAGGGCACTGGTGTGGTGGATCTTTCCCCCAATAGAGACATGACCAACGTCTGCACAGTGCTCCGCAGCGATGGTACGACTCTCTACATCACCAGGTTAGTTAGCAAGAATTGCGATCGGTACAAAATGGTGAAAGCTTTTAGTCCTTGGGATTTAAGTTTATGTGAGCCCACTGAAATTGTTAGCTGCTTTACTCTGAAAAATCGAGTGCACCTGGTAAATGATGTCTCTCCCTCTGATTTGACGCCATAAGCACTTATTTTGTATTTTCTGTTTTAGAGATGTTGCTGCAGCCATTAACCGAAAGGAAAAGTACAGTTTTGATGAGATGATTTATGTGGTAAGAACACCCAAGCTCTTTTTTTGCCTGCTGGATTATGCCAATAACAGATGAGGAATAGATAGTAGAAATTGAATGACTTTAATAATCATGGAGCCCAGTTTATTTTCTGCATTATAATTTTTATTTTTTGCCGTTAATTTTTTGAGCTGAAAACGGAGCAGAAAAATAAACTACTTTCACAACTGGTCATTTAAGTAACTTATAGCCAAGCAATCTTTGTCTAATGTGCTTTTTTTTAAAAAGCAGAAGAAATGTATTGAGAAATACACCTGGACTTTCGTTTTAATGAAAAATAAATAAATAATAATTTTCTGGTAATTTTCTCAAAACAAGTAGTAAATAATCGAGAAAAGCAACTGGCAGATTAGCTGTTTATGGTTAGTCTGTATGATATTCATATTTTGTATTTAATTCAGTATTTAAACTGAAAAAAAAAGTCTTTATAAGACTTAATATGAAATATTGTATTAGAAACACTAGCAGGACTTTTCTATGGAAGCTTGGAGTTATCTCAAAATTGTAACTCAATAACTTGACATTTCAAATGTTTCTTTTTCTAGACAGATAAAAGTCAAGAGAATCACTTCTCCCAGTTATTCCAGATCTTGCTTGCGATGGGTCACTCTTGGGCAGATGGGTAACGTAGCATTACATAAATTCACCCATAATGCACCGGTTTAATGAAAACGAATTAATGTCAGCTCTCAATCGTATTTTTGCACATTATGTTTATGAAAGACTTGAAATTAAAGATGCATTTAAGGCTGGAATGACAGTAAACCTCAGTAATTACAGGATTTCCACAGTCTCTCTTGTAATTCAATGAAGATAGATTCAGCATTACTTTACTCCTCCCACCCAAAACAGGCAGCTGTTGTAATTAGAAACAGAATGAAATTCTGCTGTCTCATGATGTCTGTGAGATGGTGCTGGCAACTTTGTGTTGGCCTTAATATTTAAGCCAACTTCAGGCTTCTATTCCACATTTCACTTAAATTTTCTGCCACTTGTAGTTATTGCTTTTTTTCTTTTAAAGTTACACTTAGAAAAAAATAATAGGATACATTTGTGAATGTACATGCATATCATGAGTTTATAAAGTGCTTAAAATGAGTGCTTCTAATAGTATTAAATACATGATTTTAGGTGTCGGCACGTGTCCTTTGGTCTGGTGCAGGGCATGAAGACCAGGGCCGGTGAGGTGGTGTTTCTGGAGGACGTGCTGGACGAGGCTCGGGCCAGGATGCTCAACAACATGAGCCAATCAAACAGTAAGCCTGTCACACATTAGGCAGTTATATAACAGTAAAAGAGTAAATAAATACTTATGTGTCCTTTAAGTACTGTTATGTGCCTTTCTCCAAAAGTTGATTCTTTTCATCTGGGCGTAGCGTTTTCAGTGGGAGAAACGTTTCGTCACTCATTCAAGTGGCTTCTTCAGTCTCAGCTGACTGCAGGTTTCCCCAGTCTTATAAACTTGGATGAGTGACGAAACGTTTCTCCCACTGAAAACGCTACGCCCAGATGAAAAGAATCAACTTTTGGAGATTTACTTACCTGGATGATTGAGAATGCATCAAGACGTTATGTGCCTTTAAAAACAAAATCAGCACTTCAGTCCTCAATCGACTGGTGTGCAGGAGTTTTGCTTTTATCTGTAATTGTTGTCAATTGCATTTTGAAACAAGAAGATGGCGCTCTTCTCTAAAATGAGCTTGATTTACATTTTTACGTGATGAGCAGGGATGGGTATTGATAAGATTTTCACGATTCCATTTTCGATTCTGTTTCACGATTCGATTCTTTATCGTTTTTTTTTTAAAAAGGAGAACACAAAGGTCGATTAGCTTAGAACTTTGTTTTATATCTTCTCTTTGAACAAGATAGAAATTTAGGAGTAACATGGCCTTACAAACCCAACAGTGAGATCTTAAGAGATCCTTAAGAGATCCACAGCCTATGGCTCTTCCATGGGGTGTCACAAGGTCCCCGGGGGAAAAAAAAATTGTAAATGTAAAATAAATATTCTTCTGTAGCAATAACAAAGTATAACATAAATTATTCTGTAGCAATTACACAAGAATATCCAGTAATGTCCCTGCCTACAATTAAACACATTCACTCAAAATCGGGGGCATCTGCTGTGGCAAATGGGTTCAAGCCTTTAACCACAAACTTAGTCACTGCTCGGTGACATTCGTCTATCCTGGCCTGAAAGGAGACGCTACCGGTAGACTGCAGCGAGAACTGCCAGCATCTGAGGCAGCCAGACTCTGTCTCTCTCATCATGGTCACCTAAATGCACAGTAATGGCAGGTTTTGTAATAAGGCAGCTAACATAATATGCACTGTTAGTTGATTATTTACCTGCCGCATTAACGGGAGAGGACGTGCAAACGTTACCGCTGCTGCTGGGTTGAGATTCACGAGTCCGGAGCGGAATTAAAAACACGACATTCATTTAAGGTCATCGCGTGTTTTGTGAGCAAATACTTTTGCATATTCGTAGTGTTTCCTCCCTTAAATGAAATATCTACTTTGCAAGTATTGCAAGTTGCCCTGTTGTCATCCGTTCTCGTAAAGTTTTAACCAAACTTTTGAGCGTTTAAGCCGCTTACGCGCCGTGTTTCCTGCCAGGTAAATGACGCTCCGCAACGTGGTGACGTCATTCGGGGCGACTGGAATCGATAAGGGAATCGTTTGCAAAAATGGCAAACAATGGCAAACAATAAAAAAAGAAATTGAAACAGTGGGAACTGGTTCTCAACAAGAACCGGTTTTCGATACCCATCCCTAGTGTGGAATCTATCCTCCTGAAAGCAGCTAAGCACATTTTTCTCCCACAATGAACTACACATGCCAAAAAAGGGGTGGTCAGAGTTGATAAGAGCTGAAACTACTTGTAGATGGTTATGGCCTTTAGAAAAATGCCTCAAAAAAAGTACAAAGACTGGTATGTATTGTGACATATTATTGAACTGAGACACATTCTTATCGTTGACTCAACACTTACTTATTCCATGATTACTGTGGGATTGGCACATGTCAGAGCTGTTTTGTTGTGTCACTGACTAAATTTAAATCTTTCCACAGCAACAAAGGAATTGGAAAACCCAGAGGACACTGCAGAGAAAGTAGGAATCAGCGCCCTAATAATCCAGGTTTAGTATTTTTATTTAAAAATGCTGCTAGTATTCAGCAACCAGCAGCTTCATTCATTGATCTGTGTGTGTGATTAATGTTATGATTGGGAGTTTCAGGTCTTTAAGTCAGACCGATAATAACATATTGGCCATTAACTGATATTCTAAGTTTGCTAAATGTTCAAAATTAGTGGTCATAAAGACCTAAAAGACTAATGTAAATCACATATTTGTTAAATAATTAAGACTTTGTTTCAATAGTACAAAAGAAAATAAACAAGATTATTACACTGTCAAGTATAATATTCCACCACTGGCTGCTTCATTTCTCGGTCTTAGTGATGATGCGGTGACTCCTTCTTTCAGGAGTTTTAGCATTAAAGCAACATTTATTTTTTTCTTAGTTTCTGGCCTTCATCGGGCCTATCACGAGCCAAAACCCATCAGTTAAGCAGTAAAGTCCTGTTGATGCATTACCTTTCTCACACCTTTCCTCCTCTCTGTGCACTTTGCAAGTAGGCGTTAACGTGCCTGAAAACTCTGTGTTTTAGGACTTCAAAGGCCCCCTGCAGTCAGACTATAAGTTTAACTGGGACCGGATGCTGCAGGCTCAGGGTGACACTGGTGTCTTCCTTCAGTACACACATGCTCGACTCTGCAGGTCTGAGATTTCTAGTATTGATACGTTTTCATTTTGGATCCTCTATCCGTTAATCTATTCAGTCATTTATTTTGGAAAATGAGAAATAACAGAGAAACATTTGAAAGACTTCACACTTTAGATGCATGTCTGACATCCTTAATTCCAAAAGGTCAACAGGATATTTGTCATGTGATTCACATATAATCCTGTTATTACAGTTTAAAGCAGACAAACAAAGGTGTAGAGGCAGTTGCCTTCGACCCATCTCTTCTATCTGAGCAGACGTGTACTGCCATCCTACAGCACCTCCTTCGGCAAGCACTTTCTGAACATCTGTTCATTTGTCAATGTCAATATTTGTTCTACGTTTACAAAACTGTCCCTTCTTTATTTGCAGTTATGACGAGGTATTGTACCAGTCAGCTCAGGATCTGCAACCTAAGCACCTTGTCAACTTCTTGCTGAAGCTGTGGTAAGGGACAGGATGCCAGTCTTGCTACTTGGCAAGCCCTTACAGTGATAAGTTAACATTAGTAGTAAATATGTACAGAGGTGTGTCCTTACTCTCTTTCGTGTCTTCCAGCCACCTGATTGCTTCAGCGCACAGAGAGCTGCCGGTAAAAGGAAGCCCTGAGGCTGTTGCACAGGTACAAAGAAAACAGAGTTAAGCAAACTTCTGTTTCTCCTCTTAAACCTGCCAAAATACTACATTGAACAGCCACAATGGAGTTGATTTTTGTATAGCCTTTTAATGCATGGTTCTATAATTTCTTATGCAACAACCTGTTCTTCTCACACATGAACATATTAAGAGAAACTGGTTGGGACATTGTCTGAAACTGCCAAATTAGCACAGTCACATGCACCACAAGCTTTGTACTGAGGAGGTGACAGGTTGAGGGGCATTTACTGTCTGATTTGACTGTTTAGGAAATTTTTCAAGATTTTAAAAGGTCTAGAAAATTAATTATAGCTACATTCTGGCAAGAATACCCAAGAGATTTATACCAAGAAAATTACATGAAAATGAATAACAGAAGTGGTTATTAGTGGGGTTCAAAGCTGAAATTTGGACAAAGTTAAAAGATGCCTTACCCCTCACGGGACTCTTCTTTGACTAATCAAACATTGTGTTTGCTTGTAGAAAACATTGGTCAGCCAATAGAATTTCTGTTTAATAGTAGGAGCACTGCTTACAGATATCAGCATAATGACAACATAGATGGTCTATACTAATATCAGTGGTAGATACTTAGGTTTGTCAGTGCAATTGTAAGCCTGACAAATGTTAAAGTGTAAAAAGCTACCTTATTATCAAGGGATCAACACAGTAGCTTCATATATTTTGGCTTTTTTTTTTTTTTTTTTTACTACACACTTAATACCCTTCCTGGTGTCTTCTCTCTAGAGTCTAACTCATTCACATATTTGACTGACAGATGATCCCCATCTTTTGGTAGCCGGTCAAATATGTGAATCACTACATGAGTCTTTAAAATATGCTATACTGATCTCTTTGTTTCCCTGCGAGAACTGATTGTATTTGCAGTCACCGTTACATCTGTCACTACATATGTAAGGGCATTGCTAACAACAGTTTTGCAACCTGAAAACTGCTTCATTCTCCTCATATCCACAGGCAAGGTTACGACTGTTCAGCGGAGCATGCTCAGTCCTGGCCAACGGGATGAGAATCCTGGGCATCACACCAGTAAACAAAATGTAAAAACCGCATCGGTGTGTGTCAGTGTCCTTTTCAGTGCTGCAACTATTGTTGACTTGTATTCTAAAAACAGAGCCTTATATTGTCAAAATAAAATTATGCTAGTCTGTAGGATTGGGTCTAGTCTGTATTCAGAAAAACACTTCTCTGCTAATAAAAACTGTACAATTACCTTCATTACAAGACAACACTGAAGTGATTAAAACAAAAAAAATTATTATGAAACAAGATGGGGTGGGGGTGGGGTGGGGGGGGATTATGCATGCAGTCGGTGATTTGGGCACATTCAGAGTAAGGACTAAGTGATTTGGAGTTAAGTCACTCGTATTGCACAGTTTAAAGACCAATTATTAACACTGGTTTATTAAATAAAATAAAGACAATATAATACTCCCAATTTAAAAAAAAAAAAAAACACACAGGGAGCATAATAGTAAACTCCTTATGCTACTTATTGTGGCTGAAGATTGGATTCCAATTCCAAGAATTCACTGGTTAGGGTATAGATTCACGAGCTTACTGGTAGCTAGCTAGAAGCAGTTTCCAAAAAAAAACTACAAAAAACCCAAACTCCCCCACCCCCTTTTTATAAAAACAAAAAACCCACTAAGATTCTTCAAAGTATTCAGAGACTCAGTTCACGGTTCCATCTGATGACGTCGACACAAAGCAGATCCAACTCTAACCTCAAATGAGGAAAGGCTTCCTTCATCCTGGTCCAGCATAGAAATGTCTGATGTCAGTCAGCACCTCACACAGAAATTAGTTTCTGTTTGTCTTCTAAATTTGTATCCTTCCAGGTTAATCTGGATGTGTCTTGCTTTGGAAGTCCATACAGGTATATGGAAATGCAGACAAAGAATGCTCCAGAGGCAAACGTCATAGCTGCACAGGAGGGTAAAAAAGCAAAATGACATTTCCATTATTAAAAAAAAATAAAAAAGGAAGATTAATGGTTTTAATGAAAGCCGGTGTATACCAAATCATTTCATACAAAAACATAGTCAAACCTTCTGTTAGTTTCAAAATGGAAAGAAAACATGCAGGGAGGCTGAAAGGTAGCACTGACTGTTGCCAATATTTTTAATTATGTGAATCTAAGCTGCTGTGCACAGTGTTTTAAGCTGTTAATGTCAATAATAGAGTATAATTGAGGCTTTAAGCTACTTTTCAAAACTTTTCTAGAAAGTTACAGGAGACTGTGGGATCTGCAAAGTGTTACTGGATGTTTTACACAGATAAAAGAGGGACGAAGCAACACGATTTTGACCATTAGTAAAAATTTGTGTTTATATATTTAATATCTGATTCCAAGAGTGATCTACTCTATATTTGATCCACTACTTTATCAAGTACTAGAGAGGTTTACAGTTCAAATAAAAGAACAAAAATCATTAACCACAATATACTCTTACTTAATGAATTGGCTGGATTCAAACTGTGGTTATGAGAAACTTACTTATTTGTAGTCCAAACAAGATTACAGATGCCACCATTGAGAGGACAATTGCAGCTGCAGCAGAAAAGCCTTTCATGATGTTATCAGTGTACTTCACTACCACTGATGTGTACAGACCACCTACACTGGCCAGGACTGAAAGCACAAGCAGAGCAGAGTCAGACAAAAGGTACAAGGAAAGTAAAAGAAAGGTACTTCTTCCTCAAGATGTCATACTTACATACTACAAAGAACACCCAAGGTGTGTAACCAAAGAAGAATCCTTTCTCCATGACCCTCTCTCCATCAGTCATGTAAACACCGATCAAGGTGATCACTATGCCGGACAGGTACATCTGAATGTTTCTCACCCACAGGGATGTCTCTGAGCTCTTCAACACTTTCTCAAAGTACACACCTTAAAGTAAATACCAGACTGTCAGATTCAAAAGGTTCAAAGTACAGCAGCAGTAAAAGTAAAATCCATCTACTTTAGAGAAAATATCATCAGGCATGTGTGCAGATCGTGGGTTTTGTTGGCGTTTTCTTAGTTGCCAAACGTATTTCTGGATTTTACTTGACAGTTAAGCCAATACTGAAAGTCAAATCATCAGCACTGGTCTTACCTGCAAAACCAGAGCAAAGGACAGCAACTGCAATGGCAATGAACCCAATAACAGGATTCTGTTCAATCTGTGAAAAAAGGATCAATGATGAACTACAGAACAGATGATACAGCTTGTAGATTAAAGAGATTTTTAAAATGAATGTTAATTTACTGCTAGTGGTATCACAGGAAATTAAGAGTGGTTTACTGAGTAACCAGGATGGTGTAACATGCCGCCCCACCTGAACTTTAGTGGCCTCCGCAGGTTTCCACTGAACCAGTGTAACGCCTCCACAGAGCATAAAGACGGAAAACCATTGCAGCCGGTTGAGAGAGCGGTTCAGCATGAGCACTGTACACAAGGCTGTGCACGGGATCTTCAGCTGATAGGTGACCTAAAAAGGATTTTGAACTAAATATTATAACTTCACACATAGATGTAGAATTTGTTTCCCTAAATATGTTGTACACTATTAGCATTTCAGCCTGAAAAGCAAAAGCCAAAGTGATCTTAAATTCACTGCCTACAAATCTCTCTCAAAAATGTGTCAAAAATGCAATTTACTGAACGCTTTCTGAGGTATAAACTGCACATAAACTGAGCTTCATTTTGCCACAAATACTTGTGCAACAAACCCTTTGACTATATTAGGGGAAAGTCCCACTTGACATAAGGAGGATATCAAACTTCTTGGATCCAAAATATACCAAGTACTTAAAAAATATAAAACAAAAAGGAAACTTTATCAAGCAGTTATCTATAGAATTAGTTGCTACTGATATAATTAAATGCGTGGAACAAGACCTGTGTAAATGATGACGTGGACTGTCTCCACAAGAGCCACACGTCAAACCCAGATTCACATAATACCTGATAAACTGCTACATCCAGATTACTCAGGGCGATGAAAGCCATATTATTCTGAACTGCATACACCACCGAAGGCACGCTGAGTTTTAGCAGTTCTTTAGGGCTGCAGAAGATGTGTTCCTGTAAGGTGGCTTTTAGTTTGATGAGACTTGCCGTTTCCCTGGGAGAGGAAACGTGAAAAACAACAGATGAATGGACAAAGAAGAAATTTTTGGTAAATGATCAAACCATTGTTATTTGTATGTTCTCCATGACATGATATGTTTGTTTTATCTGAGGGGTTTATTCATGAAACAAGATTAACAAGTCTCTTAGTATGTCGTGAAGGTGTGTCTCCATTTGTGTGGCTACAATGGCACGACAACTTATGACAAAGACAATCTGCAGTTAGGTTCAGACTGGAAATGGCACATATTTTCTTTTCAGAATCACCTCCAATTACTCTTTGGAATTTCTCTTGAAGAAATCCAGTTTATACGTAATAAGTTACTGAGGTGCATTTTATTGGCACTGACAAACGAAAGCACGCAACAGGAATTTATACACAGTCATGTGTTACAGTGCTGGAATTGCAGCTTATAGAAGACGGATCAGTTTATTTGTAGTGCAAATTACTTGCACTCTCATTTGGACAAAACGAATATAATTTCCATATTTTTTTATAGCCTTATTAAAAATAAATCTCAATATTGTGTTTCTCTGACAAATTCTGACTGACATTGATCTATTTTGTGTGGAAAAAGTTAGGTATAGAAAAAGAAAATGAAGCAAAGACCATTAATAACCACTCTGCTTCTCTTTGACTGGTTTTGTTGAGCCAAAGAAAGTCTGGATATGCTGAACCTGAGCTCTGTAAATAAAGTTACAGATTGAACTAGTAGTAGTAGTAGTAGTAGTAGTAGTAGTATTTATTTATTGTCATTGTCAAGAACAATGAAATTGCGTTTGGGGCTTCCATACAACCCAAAAAAAGAAGAAAATAATAAATACCCCTTAAAACCCAAGTGTACATATTTAACCCAGTGTGACTCCAATGCAATAAGACAATCCTTAGCAATAATGTTCGTAGAAATTCAGACAAAGACCTGAGAAACATGACAAAATACAACAATGCAACCCATTCAATATTATTGTACTGTGAGATATGATATCAGATATGATAGTTATCTATTTAAGAAAGAGGGGGGGGGCAGGAGGGGGAAGAGAATAAAGATATGATGCACCAATGCAGACCAGTTCATAAAGATGTTTTTCTATTATTAAAGTCTTCTTTGCTGTCTCTTTACAACTTGTCACTTGTGAGAAATTTCTGCTCTTCTTTTTCTTGGCAGCCTTTAGTTTATTATTTGGCATCAATCTGACAAAATGAATATAAAATTACAAAATGAAATGGAAAATTATAAAGGCAAAATACTGGGCTTAAATGAGCTGAAAAGGTACAAGTTTAAAGGAAATGTTATAAACCAAACTATAAATCGATTTACTCGGAAAATGAGTGGCAAAGAAGATTATCTTTAGGTAAAAGCACATACATATTCTTAATGAAGCTAAGCATCATCTATTATATCTTCAATTTTAATTATCTCTGGGATGTTAAAAGGTTTATTTAAAGTTTGATAGCTCTGCCCTAACATAAGGTTTTGAAAAAAAATGTTTATTTTTAAAACTAAGATCTATAGCCCTTAGATTTAAATTAAGGACTCTGAAGTATCATCTCTCTCTTGCTTATATTGTGTCTCTTATTCTGATAATAGATTTCTTGGGCTATTGTCCACTTTTAGGGAGTACTAGACAAAATCTATTGGCTTATTTATCAAATGAAATTTCAATCTAGGCAACCTTAATTTATTAATATAAAGATTTATAGAGAAACATTTTTATGTACACACACACACACACACACACACACACACACACACACACTTGCTGATTACTTTATTAGGTAATTAAACTGGTAATTAATCTACTCAACTTTAAACTGAGGAATGAGGAATGGTGATTTACTTGACTCTCAACATGGCATGGCGGTTGGTGCCAGACGGGCTAGTCTGAGTATTTCAGAAACGGTTCATCTGAAGGGATTTCCATGCACAATTATCTCTTGTATTTACAGAGAATACCTCAAAAAAGAAAAATCAACGAAAATGCCTTGTTTGAAGTCACGTGTCAGAGAAAAATGGCCAGACTACCTCAAGCTTACAGGAAAGAGACATTAACTTAAATACCTATTCATTAGAGCCAAAGTTTGGAAAAGGTGTCTCTGAACACACAAGATTTTAAACCTCGAAGCGCGCGCGCACACACAAGGAAAAATGTTTCCTGTTATGAATCTGAGATAGCCAGAATTTGGCATAAACAACATGAAAGCCTGGATATATCCTGCTTAGACTGAGGATATTGGACCCCTTAGCATCAGCACAGCCTACCTGAACGTTATTGCCAACCGTGCCCACTACGTTATGACCACACTGAACACATCTTCTGAAAGTTGCTTCCAACAGCATGTCGTAAAGCTCAAATCGTCTCAAACGGAATTCTTGAGCATGACAATGAACTCACTGCAATTAAATGACTTCCACAGTCACCGGCTTTCAATCCAATAGAGCAACTTTGAAATGTGATGTGCAGCCGAAAAATCTGCAGCAACTGCGTGATCCTATCATGTCAACACGGACTAAAATGTCCGAGGTATGTTTCCAGTAACTTGTTGAATCAATGCCGTGAAGAATAAAGACGGTTCTGAAGGGAAAGCGGAGTCCAAACCCGCATTGGCCAGTCATGTGGGTTTCTTAATCTCATACCTTACATTCTGTGGTCACTAAGGAAATAGCGGGTAGCGCCTCAAACACTTACTTTGTGAGCATCCCCAAGCTCAGCACTAACTTAATGACCTCGGCGATGCACACTGCAGTTGTGGAGAAATACAGCTCCTCTGTTGAAATGGTCCTGGTGTACCGCAGTGCCACTGTGTAGGTCGCTGCCACCAGTGTCATCACCGTGAGACAGTACACTTTGAAGATCACGCTCACATTTTCTGAGGAGAGAAAGGGGAGAAAATATTAGCTACCGCTCGTAGCACAAAATGGTATAAAGCTACATTAGCGACCGCTTTAATAATTACTTTAAGAGCAGAAACGACGCGGTTATGACAGTTTATCTGTAAACTGTTCGGTTTTGCATTTTAATGTTTTGCTACCTAATGTTTTTGTCGCTCTAACGGGGTCTTACAGCTAACATTAACCAGTTGTGCTAGCTTGTGTTAACAAGTAAACTCACCGTTGGCCATAGTTGCTTCGTTCATCTACCGTCCGAGTGAATGGAGAAGTAATAATGCCGTTAATGTTACATGTCATCAAAACAACCCGTATTGCAAGCATGCAGTCAGTAGGGGAATGCCTCTCGCAGCACGTGAAACCCGTTTTCTATCTTATTCCCAGCTCCTGTGTGTCGTCATTCGTTCCGTATTACCCAGAATGCAGCGTAAATCGAGTTTACAAATGGTGCGTTTGTTTTCTACACATTGACGTCAAACTGTTAAACACAAACCATAACAATATTGCTCAATAGAATAAAGACAATTGCTCAATAAGGTAAAAATGATTGAAACAAATGAGTATTATTAAAAAGAACATAAATAAATAAATAAATAAATAAATAAAAGAGCATCACGTGACCCCCCTTATTGAGCAAGCGTTATTTTTCTTTTGCTTTTTTCTAAGTTTTTCAAGCTTCGGGATTAGTTCTCTAGACTTCCTGAGGTACATTAAACGCTCTTCCTTGCCCTTTGTTCTTTATTCTGTAAAGTTCCCCTAGCAGTGCCTAAAGATACAGTTTAAAAAATATTTATTTCCTGTTATGTGTAGACGTAACACTGGTTCATCTACTTGAATAGTTCATAGATTAGTGTTACAAACTTTGGAAAGCCTTTCAGAAAGCCTGGAGAACTATTGCTCAAGAGCACTTTAAAAATTATAAGACACATTGTGTTTCTTTGAAGCAAAATATTGGCGGTATAGTGAAACATATTTTGCTTTTTTGAAACATAATATTAAGAAATGAAGGGTAACTCGACACTTCCTGTAGGTTCCTAGTAGTTAGCTGTGGTATAGTGAGAATAGTATGTAGGATTTTACTTTGGTCCCTTGAGTTTTCCATTACGACTGATATGCAACCAAACAAGTATGTCTATATAAAGTTCAATATGTTACCTTATTTGAGCTATGAGACCAGTTTAGACTGCTTTCAAACCTAGAAATTTGAACAGTCTAATGCAATATTTACAACAGTTTGTCCAGTTTATATTAAACGATGTGTGTCCTTTGCTTTAGTCGATGTCAAAAGCTGATAGTCTACAAAGCAAAAAATAATCAAGGATTTTTCTGTTTTATAAATGCGGTGGCATAGGGGTTAACAGGTAACCAGTTTAGGAAAATATACTTTGGTCATGACAGTAAATATACTTCATTTTACTGTGTGGCAGATATAAATATACAATATCATTAACATTTGCCAAATAAGAATTTATAATGCACATCATTAAATTTGAGGAGGAGTCATTTCAAGTAAGTATGCATAATTGTTTCCCCTTTTTTTTCAGATTGATTTCACTTATATCAGGTTAGCTTGTCTACGTTGACTTATGAGAAAGTATTCAGTCACAAAGCATACCGAGAACTGCTTTCACTGGCCAAAATTGTAATAAACACAAGGTCTAAGCCACTGGTAATGACAATATTTAATGATAAAATGATTGTTTAAAAAGCCAAATAAACTCAGCACATTAAAAAAAGAAGAGAAAACTAACCAGATTGTGATTATTTGGGCATATTATGTAAATCTAGATATGCACACACAATAAAAAAGAGAATTAAATAACTGCATATTTGAAATCATTTATTGTTTTGCAAATAAACATATCACAAGTCTGAAAAACTGAAACAAAAACATGCTTTGTTAAATAAAGGAAAATAAACTGGATGGATTAGTAGTGATGTAGTGAAATATTGGCATTTCTAACTCTGTAGAACATGTCATATCAACTTTACTGAATTCAGGTTTATTTATATTTATAGAGTCAAATAAGAGGTATGGAAAAGTAAAGACCCCACAATATTGTTTTTGTCATTTAATAGATAAAATAAACTAAGTGACAGGCTTAAATTGCTAACCTGTCTGAATGAAAATAACCTGAATTATAACATTTTATATCAACTAATAACTCTTTTAAAGGTAATTCTCTAGCACAGCTGAGCCCATAGGGCAAAGCATCACATTGAACACTTTGTAGAAAATGATTCTTTTGCAGTATAATGTTTAACAACTCACTCTTAAAGCAAATTAGACCCATTGACAACCTCAGCTTTCAAGATTCACCGCATTATCTTTACACAGAAATCTGAGCCTCCTGTAAGGCTGCAGGAGCCACGTCTCTTCGTCTGACAGCAGCCACCATCAGCTACACCTGCTCATCACATATTGGACATGAAGATGATTTTTAAATGGGAAGAAAAGCAACTTTATTTGCCCTTTGAGGAATAATCCCCATCAGAATTGAAAAATATCTAACACCTTGTTGTTAGTTGTTCCCACAAACACCCAGCCTGTGATATTTTGGTGTAGCTGTAGGGAGAAATGGAACACCATCAATGCAAGTCCATGTTCTGCTGCTGCTGCTGCTGGAGGGAAAGCTTTGGTATCCACAGATGAATATAAATGAACTCAGGAATTGTCGGTCGGGACGTGCTCGAAGCCTTCGCTCTCCCTCACCAGCGCCCTCTCCAGGATGACGCGGCCCTCCTTGTAGCGCTGGCTCTCCTCTGTGGCGAATTCGTACATCCAACCGAGTTTGCTGTTGCAGTTCTTGCAGCTGACATCACGCACCATGTGCCTCCCCGTCAGCATGACTCTGTCCTGCACCTCGCTGTGCTGCAGATTCACAACCTGGAGAACACCAACCACACGCCACTGTCACTGTACCGCATAATTGCTTTTCAAAAGTGATCAATACTGAGATCATAATTATTCAACATGATTTATTCCAGGTAACTGGTTTCAGTAAATTAAAAAATATTAAAGCAGTGAAATTGGACTTTTATAGCAAAGCAAATATGAAAGAAAGGGATGAGCTGAAAGACAAAGTGAGAAAATTGTTAAAAAACAAGACAGTGATAATTTTATCTTGATTATAGTGTTTTGTTTGGAAGCCAGAATTGTAACAAACTACAGCTTGAATAATTGCACCAACTTTAAATCTCAAAGATAATCAACAAAGATTGATCCAATAACAGCAATTTTGGTTTGAAACTGTTATATGTATTTTGGGTTTTACCTTCATGCAAAACATTTCTGAAAGAAAATCGTCTGGACTATAACATTTATAAGTTTTGTTCACTCAAGCATAAAATATGTTTGTTTTTTTGTTAATGAAAATAACATGAAAATGCCCTCTGTTATGTAATGTACCACAGACTGTGTGCCTTAGCTAATCACAAACCAATTGTGCCTGCTTACATAGAGCTTTTCTACCCTAACTCAGGACTCAAAGCACATTTTACTACAAGCCACATTCACCCATTCATATACAATTTCATACAGTGCTTTGTTCTAACTGTAACAAACACAACCAGTCCAATGCATGAATCAGCAGCAATTAGGGCAGGATAACATGCAGACTGGACGACCTGGGTTTGAACCTTCTGGCTGGTGGATGACCATCTACCTCCTGAGTCACAGCCACCCTCATTTAGGGGCTTAAGGAATTCAAAAAGAAGGAAACAAATATGGTGACTTTAAAGTTTCCTAATTTCAGTTAACCACTATGTACTTTGACAGAGTCTTATCTCTTCTAATACTTCTTAATATGAAAGTAATTATTTACATAGCTGCATTAAATATACTAAACAATCACTCTATTGTTTAAGTTAAAGTATTTTAACTAAATAACAACAATGTTGTCCATCACATGAGAAACTGATGTACCTTGTTGAAGAGGAAAGCCCGGCCAGTGGCTCCGGTGAAGCGGGTGGAGATGAGCTCAGCTCGGTTGGTCAGGATGGTGTCACAGTTGGCACAAGAGAAGAGGCGAGTCCCACCGATGTGGTCCAAGAAGATACGCCCCATTTTGAAGCTTGGCCTTCATAGTGAAGAAAACAGCCCTGTTGGAGTATGCCACTCACATCTTTCTTTAGATTGCTCTCACACATACAGTGGGTTTTAAAGTGATGAACAGTGTGAGACTCTTTGATTTTCTTTTCAAGTTTCATGTGCAAGAAACTGAAAAAAAGGCATGTCTCAAATTGGCCACAAATAACAGCAAATATTTTTACTGTCTGAATGAACACCGTCCTTTCAAATAAAAAAAATGACTGAAATACTAACATCACAAAGAGATAAATCAGAGGGGTTTAAATATAAAAAGAAATCTTTATGTGCAAGAAAACTTCCTTTTTGTTGGAGTTGCCAGATACATTTCATCTGAAATCACAGTGGGCCTTTTGCTCACCCACCTCAGATTTATCGAAAAATGTCACAGTCCAATGACTGGACATAGATAATGATTGCTGTGGAATATACGCGTCATATAGAAAAAAACAAAAACAGAGCAACCCACCTATTTTCATCCTTCTTTCCCCCCCCAAATGAAATCTGAGGCCATGTTTGAACATGAATATCTCATACAACAACAACAACAGGTTTTCCATAAAGTTTATCGTATCACACTACTATGATAGTCCACACAATATCTGAAAGACTCGAAAATATGCTGATTAGCTCCTTTAGGTGCTTTTCGATTGTTAGCTTGTGTATTGGTAGAAAAGGGAACTCAAACACCTTGTTTTTATTTGGTGGGGGCGGGGGGGGGTATCCAGACAGAGTAATCAAAAAACAAATATTCACCACTTACTTTTGAAATAAATAAAGTAAATATGATTTTGTACCGTACTTGTTGTTAAAATAAACAGTGGGGTTTCTGCTTTTAAAGGGACCCCTTAAAGGCATCACCAGGCCGAGAGCTTCGCCAATAGCAAGGTTAGGAACATATACAAACTACGTTTCAACATCGACATCGTAAATTATCAAAAAGGATAGTTTTTATAATAAACAAATGATTCAGCTGAAGCGGACTTATGCCAAAAACCTTCTCGGAAAACTATATGATGCCAAATGTAATGCCAAAGTCACCCAAACAATAGCTAAATAAGGATAACCTCAATAGGCCAAAGAAAACCGTTACGTGTGCTCCAAATTTCTCACCTCGTTGCGTTAGGTGAAGAAAACTCAAAAAACTACGGACGTTTCCCTTGTTTTTAGTCGCCGGGTCGTCTTTATATTCGAGTATTTTCACGTTTCCTCTATTGTTATTGCCGTCAAACTCAGCACAGAGGACAGCGTTTGATGCGATTTCTGTTTTTTTACCCAAGCTGCCAAGAATGATATGACAGCTTCCGTTCAGGGGCTTAAAAATAAATCCGAA